TCAGTTAAAATTAAAGTTTGGAGTAAAATGGCCTTTGAGAAGTGCTTTATTTAGTTCATAGCCAAGCCTTTGGATTCTGGCAAGGTCAAACAATCCAACCTCTCATTGACAGCAGTGGAAGTTTCATGGGAAAATGTGAGAATTGAGGCCTGAAGAGAGCCATCAGCTGAGGAGGGTCCATCGTCCTCCCCTACCTGCCAATTCCAGCTTTATATTTGCAACCCAGCCTCAGGGATAGGGAAGGCTGTCCTGGAATTCCCTGTGGCACATTTGATGCATGGACAGAGCAGGGACCTGGATGTCTGTGGCTGTATCAGGCATGAAAGTGTTCCCAGCTCTGATCAGCCAGAGCTGAACACTTAAACGGATTAAACCAAGATGACAATCACATCTCTGTCCAAGGAAACTGTTAATCCCACATCACTTCCCAGGATTAGTGCTACTCTACAAGTCACAGGTGTCTCATCCTGCCCTGTGGGGAAGGGGAATTTTAGAAATGAGGAGATGGAGCTGGTCTCAAGCAGCCCAGCCTGTGAGCCCAGAGGTGACCAGGGGGAGCTCCAGGTGAGCTGGGTTTGGACCTGGGTTTGTCTTCACACCTTGTCACATAGTGCCATGCCCTGCTACCCACACCTCCTGTCCACAGTGATCCAGTCACGGGGTTCAGGGGCTTAAAGCAAAGAGATTTGTGAACCAGTCAAAATAGCTCCTCCTAAGGCAGTTAATGGGATTAGACAGATAAAGCACCGCCGGCAGCTCGGGCCCCACCTCGGGAACATCGTGGCCTGCCACCACAACCTCCTGCCTCCTGACGTCCTGCAAGCTCAGAGGTCCTTCCTGGACACACATCACCCTGAAAGGCCAGCCTGGGAGGTCAGCCCTGCGTGGTACCACTTCCCCAGGGGAATGCACTGACACTGGACAGGGCTGGCTCTCTGCAGAGCACTGAATTAGACAATCATTAATAGCTGACTTTACCACAATGGCCATAAAAAGGGTTATTTAAACCACACAATAAATTTCTGTGTGCACAGAAGCTTTGTAACCCCTTTAACATCACTTTAAGGATGACTTGCCAGATGCAGCAGATTAAAAGGCTTCAGCCAACTTCCCCACCCTTAAACCAGGGCACAACCCTCCAACCCAGCCTATTTTCCCAGCCCCACCAAGCCTGTATTCCCATTCCAGGTAAACTGCAGCAAAGCCTGGCCAACACAAGTACCACAAATACAGCAAACAGCATCCACACACTCCTGCCATGGAGCAAACAACCACTGCCATAAATTGCAAAGACAAATTTTAATTATAAATCCTGGGATATACCAGACAGCAACCAGATGGAATAAGACACACAGATAGTACTTGTGAGGACACCTCAGGCAAGCTACTGGGTAGCAGCAGACAGAGCATCTAAGGCTAAGCTAAACTCAGGTCCTGAGGGATAAACTCCTGAGGACAGCCACACATTGCCCAAGGGCTGAGTTGCATTGCTGAGTTTGCACGAGGCCGATTTCTGTTGTTCTCTTTGAGACTTGTTTGTATCTAAATCCATAATAACCTGTGAACGTGACATTTTCCTGGTACGTGAAGTTCAAAGGAAAATTGCAGCTGGCACGAGAGCTGGGGAGTGTCTGCCTGTACCCATCCTGCAGCATCTCTTCAAAGATCCTGTTTCAGCTTGGAGTTGTTGCCCAGACCTTCATCACATGGAGCTGAAGGCCACCCAGGCCCAGCAGCCCTCACTCACACATCAACCACTTCAAAGGCATGAGCTGAATGTCTTCAGAGAGTCCTCATTCCCTATTTGTAGTTGGGATGCTGGATATTTCAGGAGCTGCCAGGCTAAATTTAGGGGTGCAGATAAGCATATCAACCTCAGGCACCCAACACCAAGGGCACTGGGAACATGGACAGCGGCCAACATTTAAGGCAGCCACAGTTCCAACAATCAAAGAGCAAGGCAGCAATGCCTGATTTGGTCACACAGGGAAAAAACATTAATTTAGCACTTATAAATGACTTAAACATCACAGTATTTTCTCTAAACCAGCAGTGTGTAGAAATATGATGTCAAACCAAACCAAACCCATCCTACAATCAACTCCAGTCTCCCCTGGGATCTGAGAGTGCATTTTTCTGGAGTGATGCAGCTGTGACAGTGATGGGGTTTGCAGGATGTGCCCAGGAGCCACAATAATGTGACATGAAGCTGTGCCAAAACCCACAGGAATCTGTCATGGCCCAGCACCATCATGCTGACATGCAGTCTAGTGCAAGAATAATTTTATAACATGATAGCCCTGTCTGGAAAGAACATATTTAGAGCTGTGTTCATGGTAAAGGATGCTGGGAGAGCTGGGTATGAAAAGTAAAGTCTAAATATCCATGAGATAAAGGAAAGTAAGAGGAGAAAGAAAAAAAAAAAATAAAAAGGAAAACCTTCTGCATTTAATCAAGACTTGACCATCGGTTGAAAAAAGCCAAATATCACTCAAAAGAGGGGAAAAAAAAGAAACAGTATCCAAATTCCTGCCGAGTGTGTTTGAGTCTTTGAGCTGCCTGCACAAACCCGCCTGAGCCTCAGCCTTGCTCTGGAACGTGCTCCCTCCAGGGACTCCCCAAGCTCCCCTCTCCCAGTCTGTTGTCAGAACAAGTTTTCCTTTCACAGATTTCGTTTCCTCCGAGGAGCTCCCGGCACCACTAAAGGAAGAACCTCCCCCGTGCAGAGAGGGCAGCACCGTGCTGAGCATCACCCCTTGGAAAACACAGCTCCGAACAGACAGGGACACAGAAGGGACTTGCAGCAGGGGAAATACATCCAGGATAATCCGGGAGAAGCTGTTTCAGAAACCACAGAGCTCCCTCTCACCGGGTCAGGGCCAGGCACAGCCCTGGGCTCCCCTCTCCGGGGTCTGGACCAGCTGAGAGGAGAAAACCCTTGTCCATCCTCGCCTTTCCCTGCCCTCCTCTGCCTTCCCTCACTCCCCGCCCCCAGGAAAAAGGCAAAAACAAGTTCTTAAGTTGCACACGGGAAAACAAGGCCAGAAAAAGCTGCGAGTGGGAGTGAGGAGCAGCAGCAGCACCCTGGAAGGGACGGGTGGCCAAGAGCAAACGCACGTGGGCAGCGAAGCGTGGCCGGATCCGGCAGCTCCTGCCACAGCCCCCGACCCTCCTGGGGACCACCCCAGCTTCATTTCCACACACTGAGCTGCACGTGAACTGCTTATAAAAGAAAATTTGCATAAGTTTCGGCCGAAATATTCAATATTTCAAGCCTTTATTATCGGTTACTTGGTAAAAACCCAACCTGACCCCACGAATTCTCATTACCACCAGCGAGGCGAGTGCAGTGTCAGCTCCAGAATCCCCCCCTGCCTCCATCCCCACATCTCCTCGTGCTGCTGCAGAGCAAAGAGCACGATACCTTCCTGTCACGCTTGCACATGGTGCACAAAGGTTGCTGGTTATTGCTTTACTGCAGTATCCTAATGCTGGTAATAAACTGAACTATCTAAAAAGAGCCCCTCTCCCTGCCAGCAGCACAGACAAGATCAGCTGAGATATGGTTAATTACTTCAGTGTTGGGGTTTTTTTTTCCCCCAAGCCAAGGCATGAAATGGTTGCCCCATAATTGTGACTCAAGTTCAAAGCAAAGGGAGACAGGAAGAGGCAGTGAGTTCACTGGTGTTATCTGACCAAGCGTGGGCTGAGTGCTTCTTATCACAGGGAAAGTTGAGACAGAAGTAGAAAGGCAGAAAAGAAAAAAAAGTAATCTGTAAAGCAGTAGTAAGGCCAGAGAGCTCCACTGACCTACCAGGTACACCACTGAATTAAAGCATCTTTATTTGAAGATGCAATTGAGGGGTAAAATTTCATTTAATAATTCCTTCTGGCTGGTTACATTAGATTGGTCTGAAAGGGAAAATCACGGACTTGTTCCCAGGAAATCAGCCCATGGAGCAGCCCTTGTCCTGTAGATCACAGATATCACAGAATTATTTAGGTTGGGAGAGACCTCTACCATCAAGTCCAACCTTTAAGTGACTTCCACCAAGAAATCAGGTGAGGCTCTTGCCCCAGCAAACACATTCTTCCCCTGGCAGAGAAGGCTGAGGCTCCAGCGGGGCAATTCCAGGAGCACAGGGAGCTCCCACAGCGTGTCCTCATCCCACAGCAGATGCTGGGACTCTGCAGTGAAGATCCCAGCAGAAGACCAAAGCTGGAACATGGTTTATATCCCTATTGCACAAGATCCATGGCGTTGAATTTGCTGCTACTGAGGCTCAGGTAGTTAAGAGGGTGCTTAGTGGGTTTTTCTCGAGGTTATATTCATCTAAAGTCAGAGCAGAGCTTGTACAAAACTCAAAGCAGGAACCACAGCAGAGAGGCCCCTTATTTCTGTGCAGAAAACACACACAGTGTTTCACTGCAAACCTCTCTGTGCTCACAGAACCCCTTGGAGCCAGGCTGGCTGCACCCTGGTGATGGGTTCTGCTCAGCCCCTGATCCCTCATCTGCTCCCAGAGGGAACAAAAAACGAGATGGAAATCTAAACCCTGCCCCAGCAAAGCACTTCTGGAGCTGTTTTGGAGCGTGACGTGCTGCTGGGCCCCCGCTGCCCAGCTTTGGGCACAGAGCAGTGGCACCCTGGGGAGCACAGGGACATTCTCTGGGTGTCCCCCCATGGCACAGCAGCCCCCCAGTCGCTCTCCCAGGGCCAGACCCGGGTCACATCCATGCACAGTGCCTGTAGGAATAAAGGAGGATGTTTAACCACCTGCACTGGGCTCCCTCTGATGTTCTCTAAGTGAAACTTGATGCTGCTCAGCAAAGACACACCTCTTCCAGGGTGTTGTGCAAAATTCTGCATTTTAACGTAGGACAGGAAATATGAAAAGAGCCGGGCAGAACCCAAACAGCCCCGCTGGCCAGGCCGAGCAGCGGGGAGCAAATCAAAGCCTTGGCTCCTCTCATCCAGCCACCCGTGATTTTCCAGGGCTTTGGAAGTCGCAGCTCCTCCGCTGACAGGTTTTTAAGGATTCTCATCGCTGCTTCCCTCTGGAGCAGCTCTGCAGAGAGCTTTTTCTTTTTTTTTTTGGTTCCTTCCTTCTCTCTCATGCTGTATCTCCTCGCTCCACAGTGGCATGGGTCGGTTGCAAAAGATTCTCATTCCCTTGCTGGGATTGGTTTTGGCCTTCTGGTTTTATTCTGCGAGGGAGAATTTCAAACCGGGTGAGTATCCAAAGTGACTCTGCCTTTAAAGCAAAAATATGAAAAGCCACATTTGAATGCTTTGCGTGGAAACCATTCAGAGCTTGGACCAAGCCAAGCCCGAGCCTTTGTGTGGTGGCTGGTAGCAGAAAAAGTTGTTTTAATGAAGATTTGAAATCCAACCGAGCGAGGAATATGCAGAAATACTTCCCGGGGGGGAGCAGGTGAGGCAGGGGGCTGAGGGGGAGAGGGCTCTGAACGCTCCGTTTTCCAGCTTCTAACAACAGAGTTTATAAACATGACTTTTAAATAATGGATTTTAAGTTCAGAGAATGCACTTAGTGGGTGATTTTTACTACAGAATAGTTGGGGTGTTGGTAAGTTTTGTCCCGACTCGTGGAAAAAGCTGCTGAAAGAGTCAAGCGCTGTCCTTGTGTCGCTGCATTCCATGAGGAGCTGCAGCAACTCCATGGCTTTTTCCATGAGATGGGAGGCATGTCCTGGTGCTGGATGCTTTGCACTCACAGGCTCATTTACTTTCCAATTAAGTGCTTATTCTGTAGGGTGTTACGGGATTTTTTTGAGTTTTAGGGTTGTTTTTTCTTCTAGCAGCATTTGGATAAATTAAATGCCTGTGCCTCGGTCCCCAGAGATGCTGAAGGGGAAGCGGGTGATCGTGACTGGAGCCAGCACTGGGATTGGGGAGCAGATTGCCTATCACCTGGCACGGATGGGATCTCACATCCTCGTCACGGCACGGACAGAGGCCAAGCTCCAGAAAGTAAATGGCAAACCGGGCATCCCCACATGCACCTCCACAGCAGGGCACACACAGGAAGGCCAATCTCACCCCACAGGTACACCCACCACGCAGGAATATCCCCACAGGTAATTCCCACAGCACAGATCCCAGCTGGGAACGGTGGTACTCACAGGCAGACACCCCTGTGCTGCCCTGTGCGTGCACAGAGACCCCCCTCTCCTGCAGACACACACACCCTGCAGAACACGTTATAGGATTTGAACTTATGTACACACATCCCCACGGACACAGGCTGCCTCAGCACACACACACACACACCCTCATTCCACTGCAGTGATAGCCAAGCCCCTGCTCTCCCCACACACACACACGTGCGATTCCAGACCGCACGGAGAAAGAGCCAGACCGCCTGGGGTGCAGGAATAACTTCCCGGGCTCCCTTTGAAGCTTAGAAGGCTCCAAACACGCTCCCAACCCGCTGTTTTAAGGTGGGAGCACATCCCAGAGGGAGCACAGACCCCCCCTTTTGGTCCCCCCCCGGGGAGGGGTGCGCTCCTGACGGGCTGTGTCGGTGGCAGGTGGTGCGGCGGTGCCTGGAGCTGGGAGCGGCCTCGGCGCGGTACGTCGGCGGCACCATGGAGGACATGGCCTTCGCCCAGCACGTGGTGAGCGAGGCACAGGCCTCGCTGGGTATGTCTACACATCGCTCTCCACGAGTGACAGCAGAGCAGGGCATCTCATCCTGGCCAGGTTTATTGCAAAAAAAAAAACAAAACCAAAAGACCAAACAGTGGGAGAAGCGGCGCGAGACCGGAGAATTTTCCCCCTGGTTCTGCCCCCTGCCTGGCTTCACCACTGCCCCTCCAACTGAACTGCGCTCTCGTTTTCAGCCCCGTGCCCTCACGACATCCTGTTGCAGTGCCACGGTCCTGGATTTCATCACCCAGGGGCTGGAGTGGCCGGCGGCCCCTCGGCAGCGCCGGTATCGCGGTCACGGGTCACGGCTGTGGAAATGCACAGTCCCTTCTCCCTCCCAGGGCTCACACGCAGCTGGGGGTGATCTCCCTTGTGCCATGGCATTTGTGTTTCGAACCAAAAAGCAATATATCACAACAGAGTTTTTACTGGCAGCCACCATCTGCAGTATATCCCTACCCCAGAGATAACGGGCCACAGCTCTGACCCAAAAACCTGATTTCTTCTGATTACACTTCCCAGGAAAGGCTGTTTTGCTGGTTGTAGCCCTCTCCCCCAGCACTAACACCCTTTCCTCTGCTTGCAGGAGGCCTGGACATGCTCATTCTTAACCATGTTGGTGCCTCGTACTTTGGTTTTTTCGATGGGGATGTTGAGCACGTACGAAAGCTCCTGGAAATCAACTTCCTCAGCTACGTGGCCATGACCACGGCAGCCCTGCCCATGCTGAAGGAGAGTGAGGGCAGCATTGTCGTGGTTTCATCCATGGCAGGTGAGTGGGGAGCGAGGTGGGTGACATGACATTCACCCAAAAGACACCGTGGGCTGATTTTCATAAGTAGCACAGAGGCATCCTAAAAGAGCCACAACTGCTTAACACTCACAAAAAACCAAACCAAACCAACCAACCAAACAAACAAAAAAAACCAAACACCAAAAACAACCCCAGCACCCAAATCCAGATTGTTTTGGGATTTTCTTGATGGAATTTGTTTTCTGCTCAATCCAATCACCTCAATTTGCTTTTTGAACAGCCCTGCAACTAAACCCCAGAGCTGGTGTGCTGGGCAGTGCTCTGGGCATCAGTTTAGCTCAGGATCCAGGGTCAGGAGTTTAAACTGTGCTCCACCTCTCCCCACTGAGGGTTTTGTGGTTACTTTGGGTTGCTCATACCCTCAGCAGAGGCACGAGCCATGGTGTTGGCCATAAGACCTTAAAAGAGCTAGAAGCCAACAGGAATATTTGTAATGCTGCTGTTCAGGTGCCAGGATGACAGTTCACTAACAGTGAAGTCCCCTTGGGGAAAATCCTCTCTCTGATGAAGGGCAAAACAGAGGTTCAGGCAGAGCAGCTTCCTGTGCTGTAACAGAACTTCACTCTGTGTCCAGGCAAAGTCGGGTTTCCCTTTACTGTTCCCTACTCTGCGACCAAGTTCGCCCTGGATGGATTTTTCAGTTCCCTGAGGCAGGAATTCAGCATTCAGAACATTAATGTTTCCATCACACTCTGCATCCTTGGCTTCATTGACACTGGTAAGAGTTGTGCTGTTGGATGCACTTGTCAGGAGCTGAGCTTGTCACCATCCTGCCCCTCAACCCCCTCTGCCACCAGCTTCTCTTCTCCCCTCTGCTGCTGCTCCTCCTCCAGCACCTCTGGGGATCTCTGGGGGATTCCACCTCTCTGCCACCAAAACCAGTCTCAAAACTAATTTATTTTCCCCATGTCATGTGAAACCAACCACTGCTTACAGGCTGGCACAGCCAAACATCCAGTTAATACAAATACCAGCCACCTCCCTCTCATCAATCCCACCTATTGATACAGGAGCAAAGGAGGGGAATGCAGTGCATGTGTTTTGCATTTTCTGGGTGGAATTTGTTTTGATACAACCCACTCACTGCAGTTTGCTTTTTGAGCAGCCCTGCCATTATACCCCAACTCTGCTGTCAGGCTCAGCTGAGACAAAGAGCTCACCTACTCCCAGCACGTTCTGTAGGGCAGCAGATCTGAGTCTTATCAATTTATTTATGCTTTGACATGCACACTGTCCAATTTTAGGAAACATTTTGTAAGCCCCACTCTCTGTTTCACATCAACAAAGTGGCCTTCCTCAGCTGCCCCCACGTGCTCCTTATCCCCTG